AAAAAAAAAAAAAAAAAGCAGCTGAACATCAAAATTATCTGTGGAAATTTTTAAAGACGTACGAGCTCAGATCCACACATCAGATGCTGATTCATTTGGCATCGATCCATTAAGTCTATCAATTTGGTATCTCCCCCTGTTGTATAATACAAATAATTAATAAAGACTTGGGCAGTGTTTTCATAGCCTTTCATAAACTGTGCCAGTTTCATGTATACTGATGAAATAACAAAATTTTTATGTGCATGTATTTGTTATATGTGTGTATATATAATTTCCCCTCATGGATATGATTATATAGTAGGACAAGCAGTAAAGAGGATAGTAAATAAGTGAAACAACTACTAATGTGATTTACTTGTCTCTCTGGGTTCTCTGGCTCAGGTTTATGGAGCAGTGATGAATATAAATCGTGGTAATCCTTTCCAAAAGGAAGTAGTGTTGGATTCATGGCCAAACTTCAAGGCTGTCATCACTCGACGACAGAGAGAGGTATAGTTTTGAAAGGCATAAAATAAAATAAAACTTTGGCATTTAACTGGGAAGAAAGATTAGGTAAAAGAGGTGTTAACCACACTACCATGTAGATAGGTTGACAAGCTACCTAATTCACTATTCCTAACTTGACTAGCTTTGGAGTGTCAGATATAAGGAAAGCCCTGTATTCTAAAGATTTTCAATAATGTGTTTCTTTGGTGCTTCATAATATCTAGAAGCATGAAGCACTCATGTCTGATTTTTATAAACTAGCTTATCCATTACTCTGGTCATGTGGGTAAAAATAGAAGGTTGAAGATACCCTCCTCCCTATTCTGACTCTGAGAACAGAGAGAGGCTCAAGTGATCAAAGAAGTCCTCCCCTGATGTGTAAGGAAAGTTCCAGGTAGAGTTATACCTTGATTCTTCTAGGTGGAGTTATGCCTTTTTTTATATTTATAAATGCATGAATTATATATAAAGTAGTTAATAATAGAAACTCCTTGCTAAGTCAATCTCTGGAAAAGGTGAAATAGATGTCTTAAATCCTCCATAATATGCATGGACTATCTTCCAAGAAGAATAAATCAATCAAAAGTCCCAAAATATCTTTTCTTCCCCTCACTGCAGCATATTGGCCACATTCCTACTTAGCCATTGCTTTATTGATGATAATTTTGGTGATGAAAAATTATCTAGACAGGCTCTGCTATTGTAATCTAATATATCTAGGATTTGGGTTATCCAGAGAATATGCTTCAGATTTCTATGATAATATCCTCTGTCCTAGGCTGAGAGAGATAACCTGGACCATTATACTAATGCTTATGCCGTGTTCTACAAGGATGCTAGGGCTTACCAACAGCTATTGGAAGAACATGATGTTATCAACTGGGATCAGGTTTTTCAAATACAAGGTGAGATCAAGTGCAAGATACCAATTCACTATGCAGTCATTTATTTTTCTCCTTTTATTATATATCATATATATCAGATAGATAGATGATAACATATATCATATCCACTGCCACTGAGTTGGTCCTGACTCATAGTGACCCCCATTGGGTTTCCGAGGTGGTAAATCTTTATGGAAGTAGATTGTTCAGTCTTGCTTCTGCAGGATGGCTGGTGGGTTTGAACCACCAACCTTCTGGTTAGCAGATGTCTTAGTCACTGTGCTACCAGAGCTCCTTATATATGTCATATATATACATATACGACACACACACATACAGATATGTATACATGTATATAGACACACACATATACATATATGTTTTATGTCTTTATAATGTATATAAAAACACTTAGTTGTTACCCCTAATGAGGGTTAGCTTTTGGGATAGGGGGTGTCCTTTGAAATGGAGCTACTGTTAAGTGACACATTCTTTCCATTGTTATTATAGTTTGGATATTAGTGAGCATCACAGCTACTATTATCCCTTATTGCTGTATTAATCATTTCCTATCACAGCCTTTTTTTTTTTTT